TACTATATGAAAATTGCCCTCCAAAAAAATTACGGCCACAATTTTGCCAAACCTTTTACCACGATAATTTAAGCATAAAACTAAAGTTGCGACAATTTTCTACTTTTGACGGTGGAAAAATAACTTCATCCAACGCTTATCTTGTCTACAAATACCTTATCCATAATCTTAGATGAGTATATACATGAGCGTTAGATGAGATTATTTATGCACCTTTAAAATCAGAAAACTGCCACAACTTTAGTTAAGTGTAAACTTAAACTATCATAAAAAACGTTTGGCAAAGTTTTGTCACTATTTTTTTTTGCAGGGGGAGATACATTTTTTTGGGTTTTTTGTTTAGTATTATTCTTAGAATAAAGACTTTATTTTTTGTTTTTTTTTCTCCTGTGATTATTTCAGCTTTGATGTTGTATTTAAATAATTTTGTAATTCGTAATCTTGTACCATTACAAAGTCCTTCAGATATATTTTAGTTTCGTATTAACAATAGCGTTAATTTTTAAATTCAATTCATGTGGAAGAAGACCTTCTTTAATACTATTTCAATATTCTGTATATTGTATATATTGTATATGTATTAGGTGTCGTACATACATAGGTTATTTAAATTAAATTAAAGTTTTTTGTTTATAAAGGATCCCTCACATTAACAATATCAGACTCATCACACAAGTCACCTAAAATCTACTCAGCCGATAACAAATCTGCACGGTCTGTGTAACAAATCTGTGCTGTCACGCAGCCGCGACCAAAAAGCAGTCCCCCTACCACTCTTCTTAGACGGGAGAGTGGTGGGGGGACCACTTTTCGCCATCTTGAAGCCAACACTGCATCCATTGATCCATCGATCCAGGCGCACGTGCGCCCTGCCTTTTGGACTTTTGGACAGTTTTGGAAAACTCTCATTACAAGCAATGTTTTTTCTCAGATTAAGAACTAGACCCTTAAATATGTGGCGCGCTCCCCGGACCGAAGCTCAAAACAAACGTCCAGGCGTAAATATATAACAGCTCATCCCTCATCCCCACTGTTGGGTGAGGCGTACCTACAGATCCTAGTGAAAAAAATGCATAGCTGAATAGGAGAAGGGATGATCAACCCGAATGCGACTGGCAAACTTGCCAGTCACATTTGGGAAGAACCACTGGCTTCATTTCTCCTCCTATTTTTTATTTTTATCACTAGGTTCTGTAGCTATATATAGGTCCTAGTGCAAAAACGAAAAATCGTATCCACCCATAGAGATAATATAATAGAGGAAGCGAACTGTATATTCTTCTGTAAGTGGAAGCATACGGTTAGTAGACAAAGGAAGACGACTGTTTTGGTCTTGCATCTCTCTCTGATCTCTGCATTGATTGGCTGCTGCTTAACAGTGTATATAGTAGTAATTGTATTAGAGCTGTAGGTATATATATATATATANAACAATAGTAATTTTTCTTCCGTTTTTTACTACTGGGAGAATTTGACGAAAGTCTCCACCTAAAATTATTATTTTATTTCTAAAAGGTTTATTATTACCAGATAAATCTCAAAGTCCTATCAACGATTTCTAATGCTTTTTTTGGTATCATAGAAGCTTCATCCCAAATAATTACTTCTACATTACGTAATTTGTTTATCTGGCTCAAACTGGAAGAACGCACTTTCCATTCGCTTTGAGCGCAATACGCAATTCCGAAATCGCGCCCCCACTGGAGACTTTGAGAACGATTGGTCGTCATTAAAAAAGGTAATTATTATGAAATGGAGCTTCCGGCTCCATTTGCTAAGTGGCCAATCCTTAAATGTCGCTTTTCTGCAAGCATGTGGAAATCAATTCATAGTGCTATCCTTTTCTAATCACGACCAATCGTTCTCAAAGTGCCCAGTGGGGGCGCGATTTCGGAACTGCGCTCAAAGCGAATAGTGCTTACGTCTAAAGGAAGTTTGAACGTTCTGTGAGGGGTCATTCCTTTTGGAAGTAGAATAGAAACAATACCATTTCCAAATTTCATTATTTCTTGAAAAATTAGATGTTTATCATGACTAAGTAGTGAAAACATTTCATGGAATTTATGTTTACAAAATATCCTTTTATCGTTGTCAGTATCGATATTTTTTTTATTGTTTCTGTTGGTTCTGGTGAACTGAAATCTTTACAAGACTTATTTTCAGAATTAAAAATTTCGTTTAAATGCAAAAGAGCTTTATTTTCGTCATCTTTACAATCTTCAATGAAAATTTTTTTGTATTTGTTCCAAATAATATTGCCCAAAAAATTTTCAGACATAATAAACCATGTGAAAAATTTTCGTATTTAAAAATCATGTTCTACTTATCCTATAGAAATAGCTGTTTCTTTATAAGTATTGTGAGTGATATCATTAACAGTTTTTAAATCAATAAAAGAAGTTTTTCCTGATACTTTATTCAATATTAACTTTAAATAAAATCTTTCCTGATTATATGGAGACACTACATTTAATCTGCTGATTTTAATATATTTTTAACACGTTTTCGTTTATTCCATTGTTTTGTTTTATTGTTGAATTTATAATATTCAGGAGCGTTCACTTATTTTTTTGATTTTGCACTTTCATCAATATTATTCAGTTCAGACCATACCAATATTTATAAATATATTCTTATCCTTAAACATTAAAGATATTCAATATATTGTAACATTCTGATGAATGGGTCTGCTTGTTAAGTGGGAATGGATGTAATTAAAGTGGCGGCGAAGATTTTGGAGAAAATTAATGATAAAATGGTAATATTGAATAACAGAGATAAATACGAGAGTACTCGTATATCTAGTCAACTGTAAAGCGCGTAAATTAATTTTATATAATATAAGTGAAGCGCACAGTAGGCAGAAAGTATGACATATGTACGGAAAGATGTATGTTGATGTATGTTTTTAGAAAATCAGAGTTTGTATGAAATGAGAGTATGTGAAAGGATGGTACATTAAAGGATAAAACTACGACATTGTCAATGTACACGGTAATAGCGATTTTTGATTATGTATGGAATTTTGTGTTTATTTGTAACTATCACATGTCTGTAAGTCCGTTTCTGGGCTAAAAAGCTGAAACTATTTAATAAATTAATTAATTAAATAATTAATTATATTTTAACATTCTGTGACCCATGGACAGCACGTAAAGTACAGTTTAAAGAAAACAAGGAGTGCTCGATTAAAAAAATTTAGAAACACTTATCTATTGACACATACAGGATAGACAGCTCATTCCAAAAAAAAAGTTAAGGGCATATCTCTCTTTCTACATAAACTTTACCACTTTTATTTGGAATTAGCAGCATGTTCTTCATATTTACTTAGAAGCAGTGGAGTATTCATTCCCAGCGTAGAACATCTATTCTCGAGTATTTTAAAAAAATGCTGCAGTCCCTGAATTCCGTCAAATCTACCTTAACATATTTTTTTTCCTACTAACAATTAATTTTATCACTTTTTAAGGCTTTGTAAAATATCAATGCAAAGCATCGTCATGTTATGTGGGAATTAGTCAAGGTATTGGATGCAGTAACTGAGGCTTGATGTAAGATGTGTGAGATCAAGTTTATTCAAAGTATCTTAGTTACAGTTCCGCACTCTTCGAGCGGCTAGAGAAGTCTGGCTCACTTTGACCACGCAGGGCCATACATTGCGTGTGCCACTAGCGAAGCGACGTGGGGGGGAGCTGCTGATGTTCCAAACCTATACGCATACATATATGAGCTCCCCACAGTTAACCCACTGGTGGCGCCCCCCTAATGGATCTTGTAGGAACCCGAACCTGTGGACAGGTATCAGTTTAAAGTTGTCGCGGGAGCGTAGGCTGTCATGAGTAATTATTTTTTAAATGTTAGTGATTTATTTAAATATGCAGGGAATGGGGTGCGAAAGTCCGAAGAGGGTGAAAATATTATGAACGCTAACCACCTAACCAATAACCCACCATATGGTCCTAACCTCTCTCCGTGTATATTACGCACCTAGTGAGCGAGTTTAAGCATGCCACAGATTTCACATAAATGATCGATAACGTAAAATCTAGGGTATTTCTTAACCTCCGAAAGTGGTGCGTGTACTATTTTTCTGCATACCCTCGTCAAAAGAGCTGATAATCTGTTTTAGAGCAGGGCAGATATGAAGCACTTTCGGCGGGGGTATGCAAAAAAGTATGGAGTGGACTTTTTCCGAATGGTGTACTAACGAGCGCAGCCGTCACTACCCGTCCTTGGATACCGGGTACCAGGTTGTCTGGTCTGGGTCTGGGGTCTGGGATCCGGGTACGACAGCAATAGGTTTGTTCAAACCAATTCTCGGTGAGACTCGGAGAGACTCTGGGTGCCTCCGAGAATGGAATGAACAAGTGTTCTTCTCCGAGTGTCTCCGAGAGACTCTGACTGTCCCCGAGAATGTATATGCACACGTTATGCATATACATTCTCGGGGACAGTCAGAGTCTCTCGGAGACACTCGGAGAAGAACACTTGTTCATTCCATTCTCGGAGGCTCCCAGAGTCTCTCTGAGTCTCACCGAGAATTGGCTTGAACAAACCTAATTTTTCATTTGGAACGGTCCAAATGAAAAGTTGCTTGAATCCGGGATTATCCGGGGTACGCTCACCATTCGCAACTGTTCCTATATCTAGATAGTACAGAACCGGAACCGAACACCGAACTAAAGAGGGGTTTGAGCAAACCTATTGTTTGCTCAGTTTACACGTTTACAGCAGAGATTATAAGGTTCGTTTGGGGCTTAGCTTGGAGCAGCTTGGAGCTCCTCCGAACTTTGCCCCAAAACACGCGTTTTGCTCCGAGCTCATCGGAGCGACTCCGAGCAAATTCCTACAGTTGTTATATCTATATTTATAGCCAAGACGTGAATATTTATATTGCCAAGATTGTAAATATAGATATACCGACTGTTGGAATTTGCTCGGAGTCACTCCGATGAGCTCGGAGTCGGAGGCCGGAGCTAAACGTGTGTGTTTTGTGGCAAAGTTCGGAGGAGCTCCGAGCTGCTCCAAGCTAAGCCCCAAACGAACCTATTATCTCTGGAATTACTCAGTTTACAGTGTGTCCAGTTCACCATGGTATTCGAAGTACACACCTATACTGCTCTAGAAGAAAGACGTGTGCAATTTTCGGTCAATTGTATTTGTATTAATTGATACTAGTGATTAGTGATTACGGATAATACGGATAAATACATGTGTGATTTAAGTACATACTACTTCTATAATATTTCAAGTGTAGGTAGTCATTATTAGTAAAATGTTGTTCATTTCCGTTATTCGTGTATTTTTCTGAGTGTTAATCAAGCGAGCTCATGTGTGTAAATCCCCAGAGTAAATGTTAGGTTATACTTTTACATTCCTTTATCATCAAGTATTATAGGTACAAGTGATAATACTTTAAATTTAACGAAAGGCTGTTGACGAACGCAGTCTACCTTATCATAAACATACAAGTATACAACTATACCTGTTTTCCCCCCGTGCTTCGTGCTCCGTATTACTCATCGCAAACAAAACCAGCAGAAGATTTATTCCATAGTATGGAATCCATACTTAGTTGCAACTTATATATCTGTATATACATAAACGAAGTAAACATAGGTACCTAGTTACCTACCAGTTAATAGTTATGTTATATTATGTTAATTCTAATTAATACCTATGTAGCACCACATACCTATGCATGTTTAACGATTCGAAAAAATACAATAAGTTACATTAAGTATTAGTAGAACTTCATTATCGTTAGTAACCTTAGTATCGCGAAATTTGACTCCGTATTTAGCTTTCCGGGAAGTTTCGCTCCACTTTTAGAGTGCACCATACCTACGTATCTGATACGTACGTACGAAACGTGCACAGCATCTGCCTCTTTCTGTTCTTAACTTTACTTTTTCTTCATAATCAAATACATAGCTATACGCTTACTAGGTACACACTCGCATATTAGGCAACGAAAGAGACAGAGAGTGAGGTCGACGTTTATATTTAGCATGACAAAACCTACGCGTGTAAACGTTTGCCGTGCCCCCGGGCGGTTTGGCGTTGGGCTGTAGGTACTAGCACTCTCTTGCTTTTTTTATGACTCCACCTCATCAGTCTGACACATTGTGCACTATGCAGAGTACCGACAATTGCGTCTTGAGTCAATTAATTACACTTAATTAAGTAGTTTTTTTACCTTAAATTTTTTCAAAGATAAGCAATGGAGGGCGATCAAAAGAGTTACGATCTAAGGAGACGCAGTAGGTCCAGGTCTGAGACTCCTCTGATATTAAACAAGACTGAAGGTGAAAATGATGGCTCTGAACACCACTATGATTTGAGGAGCAAGAGCAGAGACAGGTCCATGACTCCTGGAATTGAAGTCAGTAGTAGTAGAAGGTCAACTTCTAGATCATTGTGAGTGCTATTATTTGCATTTCTGCATTGAAATTTAATCGATTGTTGTGATTAATAATTTGTTTGTTTGTTTGTTTTTTTGCTTTTTAGACCAAGCAGTGTAGTTAAGGCGCGCAATAAAGACATGGAGGTTATTGTTGAACAAAAAGACATTACACTGACAGATGTAGCGGCTACAACGCCGAGTAAAAATACAACTTTTGAAACGAGCACTGTCAAAAAGAAAGCGGAACGTCGTTCTGAGCGTCAAAGAATTAAAAAACAGATTTTTGCAAATGGACAGAGTGAATCTGTGGATGATTCTTCTGATGCAAATACAGAAATCAAGGACAGAAAGAGTTTTATCTCGAAGAGGTTAATCACAAGTGATTATTCATCTGAAGATTGTGATAGGGAGGATATCCCTAGTCGACCAACATCAGTTCATGAGTTTTACAAGCAGCAGGGTGATTATTGGAAGTAAGTTTCTTATTCAAATTGAAAAAAAAAAAATACTACTCTGTATTTGTTTGGAATATTGAAACCAACAATTGTCAAAATTTATTTATCAAAGCTGTCTGTTATCTTTGAAAAGTTTATTTTGATGTGCCCCTTTGTGTCAATAATCCATCAGTGTTTGCAAACACTAACACTTGACCTTTCTTCACTTATTATATTATTGCTCTCCCTCATTTGCTCACTCGGCGACTTTTGAATTCCAAGTATATTTATTATCAGTATACGTTTCATTAGCCTGCCATCAGCTCCTTTAATTAACACCGTTATCTTATTTACAAAAGTATTTTAACACCACTTTAGATAAGGCTCAAAAATAACTGGCGGAATTATTTACAGCAAATTTCCAAAGACAGATTACACATACTCGAAAGCGTCGACATGTCGGTACGAGGTAGCACCAGGCGTCATGGCTATTCCTAATATGTCCCGTCGCTCGTTGCGTTTAGATAGTAGTATTTTCAGTGGCCAAACGACAAGCAGCCAATCGTCTTTAGACAGCTATACCAACGAGCACCCGATAAAGGAACCCTATCAAGTTTCTCGAGGCCCACTGGTAATAAAATTTAATTTTATCAGCATTTGTTGCATTATTTTGTTTATAATGTTATCACTTTTCGATAATTGCTTGCTTCTTTCGTCGGTATTAATCTTTTAACCCATTTGTTTTGCTTAAGGGTCTTTCATCTCAAATGCAGTCGCACGTTCGAAAGTACACGAGCACTAATCAATCAAATGATTACAAAAAGACTTTGGTGGATTCGCAGCGTAATCGTCCTAGTTCTGTCTTTAATTCTCAAATCGAAGATGATCTTAATGAAAGGTTTGTTTGAATCATGTACTCATTTAATTCCTAGTAAAACACTTCATCCTTTATATGCCACCATTTTTTGTAGGTATGAATCGTGGGTGGATAATTTAAAACATCTTTCAAGTAATTACAACTACAAAAATACATTGTACAACGTGGATTCTGATACTGATTGCGACGAATTGGATAAATCGTCGAGTTATACGTTGCGAAAAAAACAAAAGTCAAATACTACTAGTCTGTTTTTGGCATGGTTTACGGCTGTACTGCATTTTATCACCTTTGGACAGTTTCAAAAACAAGAGTACCCCACTAGTCACTATCATCCGCCCAATCAAGGTCAGAATGTATTAATTTCATTAAAAATTAAGAGAGTTACGAGGGAAATCATACTTTTTGATGCGATTTGTGTACCACTGATATCTAAATACTCAAGAGAAATACATAAAGATCTTTCAAGACGTGCCGTCATTAATATTTGTTGATTTATCCTCTGATCTTAAAGATGCCTACTAATTGTGTTATTCGTTTTTTTTTCAGAAACAAGATTGAGTTGGTTTTGGCAACAATTTGATGCAGCCGTGCAGCATATATATTTACTGTTCGTCAAAATCATACTTTTCGACTCATGGTTGCTTAGTAGAGCTTCCAAGTTGCGAGATCGAGCCCAAGGACGATGGACAAAAATACTTTGGCTTCTCCTTCCACTTGTTCTTACGATTGGTAAGTGAATTAGTAACTGTTTACACAATTATCATCAACTCCTTAGTAGCACACAAGTTTGATATGGAACATTACGTTTCATTTATTTATTTTTTTATTTTATGTATTGAAAATTTCAAGTTCTCAATTAATAGTCTCGATCAATATTCTGTTCTTGACATAAGCAGTTCATACGATTAAACGTTTGTCCCCTGCACTCAAAAGTACACTTAGTGTTGTAAATTATTATAATTATGTCTGTGCTTTCTGTCTTGGAACCTTAGCATTGAAACAAACATTTGTCTATTTTAAAGTGCAAATTATTAATATCCAATTCAGGAGGTAACGATATATTCCTCACAGCATCGAGTTTTATTGCATTATTGTTTCCCTAAACTCAGCACGAATTCCGTTCTACCTTTGTTTCAGGCACTTACCTTGCATATGTGCACACTCTAACTTGTATGAATTACCTGCGAAACGTTCGCGAAACCGTTAACGAAATAACTGCTAACGCGGTTGATTATTTGTTTGTTGATCGTGAACTATTCTACAAGTACTTATTGGCCTTGAAAAACGTATCTCTGCCTGATTTGCTTACCATAAATATAACGATTCCATCCCTGCCAAGTTTAGGCTGGGACTAGTTTTTGTTTTTTGTTTTTTAACATTAACTTTTTTTCAACTCATCATGCAAACTTTGTTCTAGACTGGTTGCTAGGGTGGCTTTTTTAATTTAATCATTGTAAAGTTACTGCGTTATAATAGTTATTACTTTTTCTATATTTTCTTTCCAAAGATAGAATAGTCACACCGAAATAAATCCATATCTGAAAAATTTCCAGTAGCTCTGAATTCTAACTTGTACTATCACAAAGCATAATTTATGTGTTTCGTGTGAATTGTAACATACTAACAATTATAAATATGTTTTTGCTAGCTGCTTGAAACTAAAGATAATCGTTTTACATTGATTGAGTATTTGTATTTTTTAATTACCCACGTATCTGATGTACCTATCAATACGCATGTATCTGATTTACAAGTGCCTATAGTTGTTAAGGATAAATTTTTACTATAACACAAAGAGAATTTTAAATGCTTGTATTAAAATCTAGATTTATTTTTTTTGTTCCAAGCTAAACCCAGAAACAAAAAGGGAGTGTATTAATTTATCTCAAAAGCAATCTTATCAATAAAAAATAACACAAAAAAGATACAAATGTTTTTAAAATAATTTATGTATGGGCTTCAGATTTTTTCATCCCGGATCTTAGTAATGGGCTATATGTATGAGCCGTTTCGTTTCTGGGTCAGCAATTTAGAAATGATCAATACAATTACTTGCCATGGGTTGTGGATTATTTATAAAAATTAAGTTCCTGGAATGGCGTGTGGCTTACAATATTTGGTTTGCATTTATGTCTTAATACTTTTGCTATACTATTTACTAATGATATGGCTAAGGGCATTACGTTACCACTATGTTTGTTTACTATTAGTTAATAAGTACCTATTTGCCTCACTTGAAGAGAAAAAGAGTTGTAAGGAAGGAAGGTATTTTTTTTGTTTTGTTTTGAAACAACAAAAGCAATGAAAGAGAATAACGTTTCGCAGTAATTAATATATTTGACGGGAGAAGGATAGTAGGGAGTATGCGTAAAAAAAAAAAAAAAAACTCATAAAATGATGGCTATGATCGAGAGGGAAAGAGGAAGGCTTGAGATTTGATCGTTTCTTACGCGCACACGATCCCAATGATGGACGTCGTTTGTCGTCGTCGCTTTCTACGGGAGTCGCGGGTGAGTTTTGCAAACTTCGTACTGTCCTTCTCTCTCAAATTACTCATTTATGAAAAATACTCTCGTGTGATGGAACTTTTTTTTTTGACACATGGAGGTGTTTTTTGCTCATAACATTTTTTTCAAATAATACTCGCTCTGATTGTTGATAAAAATTTTGACTTTAAATTGAGCCATTGAGAATTTATGATGAGAAAAAAAAATTGACTACACAATTTTATGTTTCAGGTTACTTGTGTCTACCATTAATAGTACCTGCCATATCATGGACATACCAAAAAACATTACCCATCCAAATTCAAAGAGAAACTGACATGATGCAAAGCTACTCCCCAGAAGATATTAAAATAAACCAAGAGCTCAAAAACCTCGTAAATATTTTAATCAATCGTGTTCAGTATTTAGAGATTGCAGAATCGGAACGATCGGTAATGCGAAATGATTTAAATTCATTTTTTTTTTTTTTTTTTTTTTTAACCTAAGTATCATATGTCGCTGCTACAATATCATGTTGGTTTTAGGTACATTTGTCGAACATCACACAGAGCATAGAAGATCTGAAACATAGTGGTGGTGATGTTCGGAACAAATATGACGTAAGTTATTGAAAATATGGATTTAACACAATTGATGGATGTATCAAGTATTTACATTGAAATACGAAATTTTGCAAATTTTCAGAGCAAATTATCAAGCTTGGAGCAGGAGTTGGCGTTGCTGAGCAGCGAAAGCAAAAATTTCCATGCAGACGAGCTTGGCATGCTAAAAGTAGAATTTCAAAATCTGAAACAATTGTACGGTCAGCTGAAAACCTGCTGTGATGCAACCTCAAGTATGGCAAATGAAGACCAAATGCGAGAACAAGCGGACAAAGTGTTTGCAGGCTACTTTGGCGATGCCATTTCCAAAGACGACATTGTGAAGGTGTTCCAGATCATGAACTCAAAGATCCAGCATGAAGAAATCGCACAGGCAAGTGGCATTGTCGGAGCACCTAGCGAAGAGCCTGAGAAGAGCTCGACGAGCCTGAGCATAGATGAAATACGCAAAATTGTTGTTGGAATCCTGAAAATTTATGATGCCGACAAGACTGGTCGGGTTGATTACGCTTTAGAGTCTGCCGGTAATTACCACAGGTTTTATCTTTCAACTACAGAATTTTGATAGGTCGATAAAAACTGTTTTTTTTTTTTCTCTCTCTACAGGAGGTCAAGTATGTAGTACCCGTTGCACGCAAAAATATAACGTCCAAACGCGCGCCTTTAGGATTTGGGGGGTAACGCTTTTCTACGAAAACAACAACCCACGAACCGTGATACAAGGCAAACTGCTGCAGCCAGGCATGTGCTGGGCATTCCAGGACTTTCCTGGTTATCTGCTCATCAGATTGCGAAGTCGAATTTATTTGACGGGATTCACGATGGAGCACGCATCCAGAGCTAATCTGCCCAACGGAGAGATGAAGAGCGCTCCGCGAAAGTTCAACGTTTGGGTAAAATTATGATTTTGTATTGATGCAGTGGTGGTATTTTTCATTCAAAAAATGTACTGATTGAGATTCTTTTAAATTTAAGGGGTTGAGGTATGAAAACGATTTAGATCCTGTGATGTTTGGAGAATATGAGTTCTTGGTCTCTGATGACAGCTTGCAATATTTTCCGGTTCAGGTGAGAATTTGTTTTGTTGCAGATTGCTTTTTCTTCGTAACATATATAAAATTTATTAATTGCTGGTTTTATGGGATACAGAAAATTATTTTATTTAATTAAAGTATGAGAAAAAATTTATGCATACTCTGATGCCAACTGAAAAATTTGTATTTTGTTTCAGAATACAACAATAACAGAAGCCTACGAATACGTTGAGTTGCGGATCCATAGCAACCATGGTCAGCTCGAGTATACGTGCTTGTACAGGTTCCGAATTCACGGGAATCCTGCGTGATTCGCTGCCCCTCGAGCCCCTGTAGATAAAAACTTTTTTCAACATTACCAGGTGTATGCCAACTTGAGAAAACCAAGTGCTATAGCAACGATGAATACGCCGTGTGCCTTAAATTAAAGTGTCGGCTGAAAAAGCACAAATCAAAATAATCCAAACGCATAATATTCAAACGCACCAAGATGATTTCGGGTATTGTAAGTACATACAAATAGATCTGAGCTCTTGTGAAGAGTTATAAGTTTCAAAAGTATTTTTGTAAGGCGATACTATAATATTTTTCGTAGATATTGTGAAATATTGAGAATCCCTTTACAGTTACCGATGGTTGAGACAGTAAATTAATAAAACAAAAAAAAAACATCAATGTTGCTCGTTACATACCATCGTTACCGATTTCTGGATCTCTTATTTATTTATTCTTATTCTTGTATTTGTATAATATGCCAGTCAATCGATAACGAAGGGTGGGGAAAAGTAAGCAACCTTAGTGATATTTTTCTCGTTGCTTTTGTGTAATGCAGAAAATGGATAGTGTACCGATTCAATAAGAGTACAAATTGTAAAGCCACTTACTAGTTATTAGTTCTAAGTCACGCTTTTTGTAGAGTAAAAAAGATTTATTATTGAGTGATATGTATAAAATGTATTGAATATGTATATTTATATTGTAAAAAATGAGAAGCAGCTTGTGGCATTTGCTCACTCATAAAAACACTCTAATAATTTAGTTTCATGTTTTCGAAACTCTTGATACTGTACTCTTGAACCAAACTGTTTGATTTTGTTTATGAAAAGTTTAGAAAGATAACCTTTCTTGGCATCATTAAAATTGTTTAGGCATATTACATAATTTATTAAGATTTAAACTTGATTTTGTTGATTTTCCAAGTTTAATACATTATATTTCGTACGTTTTTTTTCATGTTTGGTAGCAAAAATACTTTTCATTAAGAAATTCAATCAGGATTGAGGAAATGTAATAGTAGGTAATATTTTGAAAAATATTACCGCTTTGTATTTGACCAATATTTGTAATACTTCAAATTGTCGGATTTTTCGAAAACATAAATCCTATTAAGTAAACGAAAAAAAAAAAACGTTTAAAAAACATCAAAGATGATGTTATCAATAGATTCTCAACGCACTAATGATTTTTTGCATAATACATCGATCTAGTGGCAATTGCAGAGTCAAAACAAGTCACTTCCTATTTTTGTACATCAAAGGAATCTTTTGAAAGTTTCTTGGCTTGACTGAGACTTTTTTGAAATTTATTTCAACTCTTAACCACACACTTGTTTTTGGCACGTGATATACTTAATAAAAACAATAATTATTAAGAGTTAACGATCGATGATTTCTACGTGAAAATATTTGTGTCATATATTTTTCACATATCCAAAAGGCATGAGAGGCAAGAAAAAAAAAACCTTCCTTTTTTTACCCAAGTGTCATATATGTATGCGCGCTTCCTATTTGATATTTAAGTAATGCGAATAAATAAATATGAAAAGATACATTTTTTTAATTTCCATCCAAGATACCATCAGTTAAAATTAACATTTTAAATATTGCGAGTTTTCGAAATAATTGAATGAAAAACAAAATTATGTTTTGGTAATCAAGTGAAAACTTACACAGGTAGAAAAATAAATTTTCTGAAGATGTAAGTTATTCAATTATTCATATTCATTGAATTATTATACGTTTATTAAATTATTACCGATCGAGTTCAACTATGAACATACACAAAAAATAGGAAAGGAAGTAAGAGAGCATATATATATATATATATATGTATATATATACATTTCTACTGGTCCACAATATATACAATCATAATCATCAACAGCAACAGGGCCAACTGGCCAACAGGTGGTTTTTTGTTATTGCGGTATGCAAAGAAATCGATGGTGACTTCAAAATTGTATATTCTTATTAGATTTAAGTAAGTAACATTCGCAGAAAAGTACCTGATCAAAAAATCATCTAGAGTGCATTTTTAAGCATTTCGATTTTCAAGGGCATTTTTATTCAAGATCTCGTGAAACCAGTTTGATTTTTTTTACCAAGGAATTCGCGAGAAAACGAAAAGGAGAAAAAAACGGCAACAGCATAACCTGGCGACCCCCCATCATGTACTCGAGTCTTGAGTTCCTGGATGATACAATTGATGCTGATCTTATTAATAAATGGAGCGTCGACGTTGTCCATTGTGATATTGAATATTAAAAAGTTTAAATAAGTGCAAGTCATAATATTTCTTAATGTAGATGAAAAATAATAGGACAACTGTTTAAGGTGAGTTTGAATTTTTTTTTTTTTTTTTTTTTTTAAACTTGATTGAAAAAAAAAAAACTTTTGATCCAAAAACCTAGTGCTTTGAACGATACATCATTTTACTTCTAGGCGTTTCAAAAAATGGGTACCCGAGCGGTTGCCGTGAGTACGACTGCCAGCGCAGTTGTCCCGGGAGAAGCCAATCTAGCCGGTGTCCTCAGACTCCTGGAAGACCTGGCAAAGCTCTCGGAAGACAAGGAGTCGGCCGACATCGTGTTCCTTCTCGGCAGAGAGGAAACTCCCATTTACGCTCACAAAATAATAATGCAAGCCAGGTGCAAGAACTTCTCACCTGGAAAAAGAATCGGCAACGCCGGCAGTCCAGCTCCCGTAAGGATGCCCCACGCGCACGCCGAAACTTTCAGGCAGTTCATTCACTACGTATACACTGGGAAAATCATGCTCCAGGACAGTGGAATATTTGAAATGCTGAGCCTAGCCCAGGAGCTGGGGGTCGAGGAGCTGTGGAGAAGTTGCGAGGAGCATGTGTCAGTGACCCTGAGTCCTGGCAATGCGTGCACCCTTCTTAGCGCTGCCCTGGAAGCTCAAGAACGAATTCTGGGTGGAAAAGGGGCCTGCTCTTCGTTCATAGACAGATGCTTTGCTTACATATGCGAGAACGCCATCGACACTGTCAAGACCAATGCCTTTTGCAACCTGCCCAAGGACGCGGTTGTCAAACTCATGTCCTCGGATTATTTGGGCTTGGAAGAGGAGGACGTCTGGAGGGCAGTGCTGAGCTGGGCAAAGTATCAGGCAGGGGTGACTCAGCCAACTCAGCATTGGACCGAGGAGGAGAGAGCTAGAGTTTGCCAGCACCTGTCCGGAGTGATCAATCACGTGAGACTTTTACTGATAGATAGCCAAGTTTTTGCCGAGGAAGTGGAACCCACGGGAGCTGTGCCCATCGAACTCTCCTTGGAGAGGTACAGGTAAGCAAGTAAGCACTATTGTCCCACAGGTTGTGGAGTTAACAAAATATTTTTCAAATACGTAACTACAGATTCTGACGGGGAAAAATATAAATGCAACAGGTATGCAGCTCTACCGAACAAGCACGCAGACGTTTGTACGGATAAACGTTTGCAGCCGCGCGTAGGACCCTTCCTCTTCCCGGGCTCGCAGATACTTTCCAAAGACAAGATGAGCTTTCAGCGTCTTTTGAATCAATGGTACGGCGTGCCCAAACAGTCGTGGCGTCTTATCTACCGGGCCTCGAGCCACGGCTTTGCCGCTTCTACCTTCCATCGGCACTGCGACGGCATTGCTCCGACCTACGTCATCGCTCTAGGTGGTTTATATAACAAATACTATTGATTTTCTCTTTTTGTTGAGATTGTTAAAATTAATAATGGTAATAATAATAAAATTGTAGGAACGAGAGGTGAGATCTGCGGCGGTTTCAGCGACATACCGTGGGGCAAGACAAGCGCCAAGGGACATCCCTACATACACTACATACCCTCGGAGAAGGCGTTTTTGTTTACCCTGATCAATAGCCAGGACGTACCCCCTACCAAGTATAACGTGGTCAAGAAGCCTTTTGCGATTTGTTACCATCCGGATATTGGGCCGATTTTCGGAGCTGGGGCCGATCTCTTGATTTCCAGCAACTGTAACGTCAACATGGACAGTTACAGCAACTTACCCCACAGCTACGACGGCGAGCACGCCTCCAATTCCATTCTCATGGGCGACTATTACTTCTCGGTCATCGATTACGAGGTTTTTACGACCAGCAACATTACTACAGGGCAAGCCAAGTCGAGCCATTAACTGTACAAAGATATCATTACTGTTTTATCATCTTAAATCGTGCCAACAGTGCAATTGTTAATTTTTACACGTATGACGTTTACATCTATCTATATTTATAATCATCAAGTGTTTTTTTTTAATTAATTTTAAGATTGACCGCGTAAATGTACACACTTTTCATTTCGAATGTTACTTGACGACTTTTTTCTTCGAGATGTGGATCGCTCGATATACCTAGCATCACAATGAACTGTTTAACATACATGAGTGATTCCGCTGGAACTGACTCAGACGATTTCACCAGTTCGTATGCGCGTAATGAAGTGAAATGCATTCATGTAAAAAGTTGCGCTCTTTCTGCTTCAATCACATAAAAAACAACATTCAAAGTCGTTTTTGGTGGTCAAATTTACGAAAAAGGCGCCAAAATGTCCTTTCCGGCTGGTGTCGATTTTCAATTATTCGACTCTCGCTGGGCGAACATCGAGTTTATATACTTTAACTGCGGAATGCGGATGCAAGTCAATAACTCTAGGGTATTGACGATCTTTCGCCACCAAAATTGCAACCGAATTCCTTGATGAACAATCCGAGAAGTGTGCATACACACTTTGGCACCAAAACATATATATATATAGTGTATCGCACACCGGGGTGCGTTCCGTAAGCTCCAGCAGTTAATCTTCAAGTATCTCGGTATCCTATAGATGACATTTAAATGCAAGAGAGGAATAGTATGACATGTTATCTCTACATTGTCTAAATACCTAGATTAAACGGCCAGTGCTTACGGAACGCATCCCAGGACCTGGTGTTCGAGTCGGTTTTTGAAACTATATCACTATTGGGATCGGCCCTTGAGAGCCTTCTCTCGAAACTTTGGAATCACGCCACAACGTGTAAGCATAGAAAAGCTGGTGGCGTTGACAGTCATGAGCCTTCTCTCACCATTTTTGAAACTCACCACTTTATGGAAATTAACCTAGGGCAGTGGCGCTAGTGCTATGGGACCAATCCCAATACCGGAAGGTTCGAATTTTTTAAATGTGCGTGAATAAACTTTTCCATCCACCTTTATCCGACGACCCACTACTCACACGATTTGTTGGTACTGAATATAAATATAGTATATAATTGGTACTGAAAGTCAAATGCGCAGAAAAAATCACACGTTGTGTCTATAAGCTGTACGCGCTTTTGAAAAATTGCTATGTCCTTTCCGTCCGCGTCCGTGTATTTTCCGTACCCATCAAGGATAAAAGTATATGTGTTTTCACACTTTGGGGCAATGAATTTTCACCAAATTTTTTTTCCAGCATTTCTGGGCTTAAATGAAAGTTGGGATCAAGCCCTATCAAATAAAAAAAGTTTTGTACCCTTTGGTGCCAAAATAGAAAGTTAGAGCGGTTGAAAGAGACATACTGTATTATTTTCATCCAATGTCTACCACAAGATCTCATTTTTAGCGATTTTTACTATCCTTTCAGCCACTGTAACTTTCGATAGGTGGCACTAAATTAAACAAATTTTTTTTTAAATCAATTAGGCTTGTTCCCAGATTTTATTTAAACTAGGTAAAAACACTCCAACTATACAAGCAGCTTACTTACTTATGGCAGAAACATACGCAGTTTTTTGAAAAATTATCGAAACTTTACTCCTATAAAATATCTTGTATCTTATTCTGACCAAGTAACTTTGTAGTAGAATTGCTTAGAATACTTGTTGTAGATAATATTTGAGACAGTAATACCATGTAAAACAATTTTACAAAAAAAAATTTTTTTTCAAACTATTTTTTAAGTCGTTTTGAGTCGGTTATGGCGGAATTTCCCACATACATGTATGCATGAGTGTATATAAATACAGTGTTTATATATTTTTTTTAATAAAAACATGCTAATGAAATATAAATATGACTGATATGATAAAAACAAACTATACTTTCTGTTATAAAAGGTCGATCAGAATAGATGCGAAAACATTCGATCTGTTTTCCAATGACGTTAAAATCTTCTTTATATGTCACAACTATTTTACTTTAAAGAACAACTTTTTTGCTGAAAGTTTTCTGACAGTTGCTAAGCGTGGCTAAGCAACTGCTTTTCAATTAAGTACAAATTAAGATGCTCCAGGTGCTGCTCGGAAGTTTAAAATGAAGAAGGGCATTTATGTATATATTTAGAAGAAATTATAGCTGATCTCCACTGTGCTTAGGTCGGAAAATAATTATTACGGAACCTATATATACCTGGCTTTTATTTAACACAAACAGTAATTATTAAAATGTCGTTTTGATGGTGTCGTCGTTACACGCACTCGTCGCTGGTCAAGACCGTCATGTCTTAGCTGCGCACCTCAGATCTCAGCAGGTCATTCACTGTTAATAAAAATATGTATGAAAATTGCATGTCGCGCTATACAGTCCTTTGTGTACGAGATATTAAAAAAAAAAAAAAAAAAAAACATGGCTGTAAAGTGTAAATTTTTATGACGCCATTTAGGCGATATTAAAATAAAAAAATTGTTGTGCCCATCATGACATCATCGTGAAATATGGGTCTTTACAGAAAAAATGAGCCCTAGTTCGATTGTTTTTGTCAGCAGGAACTGAGTCTAATGGCATTAAACATTCAACGTTTTTTAAATAAATGCATAAAATATTTCGTAAACAATGAAATATTTTTCCGTGAAGGTTTTATGGTACATTTCGGGTCATAAAATACGTATTTTCGAGCGGAGATGTAAAATTGGTTCCCAGGCAAGAATTTCACTGATAGGCCGGGTCAAATTACTTCCCGAGTCATTAAGGCGAATGGTCAAATTGGTTCCCGGCTATTTAATAATTATGTAGATACTATATTTCTTCCATCACACTTTTTCCGGGCTTTGGACTGGTAGCCATTCGAATGCTGGCATGTTTGAAAAATATAGACTACTGTTAAAAAAGTGGTAAAAATTTTTTTAGACTACCTTCATGAATTCAAAGCGAGTTTTTAAAGTTTTTCTTGTCTATAGTCTCTTTTGATTTACTTTTCTTATGCTGCGTATACATGGAGTCTTGAACTTCCAGGACCAGCCATAAGCCCGTGTGAGTGTGAGTGAGAAGCAAGAACATACTCTCTTTCTCGCACTTACACGGGCACATGGGCTGGTCCTGGAAGTTCAAGACTCCATGTATACGCAGCCTTACTTCGCATCTTGATATACACTTCACATTGCACAGATTTCAGTTCTTTTACGAATTCAAATATGTTTGGACTGGATGTATAGAACATTCCATTTAGACGCGCATGAAAGGATTCACAGTTATTTGTAGTACGGCAGATCGAACATGAAATTTGATTTTTCCACAAAGTTTTTCGATGAATTAATATTTATATAAAATTTTCACGGTCCAACGTTGAAGATTATTTTTTAGTTTTTTTTTAAATCCAAAAGTATAATTATCGACTTTTGGAACTTTTACCCCTTTCACTCGACAAACACTCCATTGTCAAACACTAGAACAAGTATAAAAAAATACAGTGATAAAAATACGACTGATACATAAAATATTTTACAACTAAATACATAGACAGCCTCGTAGACAGCTAACTTACGATGAAATTGTTCGTATAAGCACTTGTTGATACTTTGTCGACCGAGAGTAAAGTGTGATCGGCCGCTCTCAAGTTCAATGACTTGTTTTTCTGCATAGTATGGGTGTAACTACACTTCTTCTTCACGTTATGTTCCAATTTTCAACAAAGCAAATTCAATCTTTAAAAAAGTGCTGCACGACTCGATATTCTACTGCAATTTATATGTGTGGGAACCTATTTGGCCATGCGCTTTAATGATTTGGGAACGAATTTGACCATAAGGCTGCGATTACATGGACCAAAAAAATATCCTTAACTTGTCTTTTGGTCCATGTAATCGCAGCCTAAGCCCTAATGACTCAATGAACAGCAGGAAACCAATTTGACTTTTTTTTATAAATTTGGGAACCAATTTGTCTATGCCCTTTTCGAGTGCGTAGGATTTTTCTTTTTGTAAAAAAAAAATAAAAAATTTGAAATTTTCGACATTGATTTATTCATATTTAATCGAATTATTAACTAAATTCAATCAAACTGGTATCAAATTGTTCTTATTTCTACTACCTACAACATACAATAAATAATCTGACTGTTGCAGTTATAATACGTTAAGCGCTAATTTCCAAAAACCCTTTTTTCGTCGATTTTTGCTCAATAAAACATCAATTAGACAATGTTTCTCACCTCCAATATGGGGACCGATACAAGGATGATGTGTTCCTTACACATAAATGGATACAAGAAAGTATGTTAAAACCTGTGCGCAACTATATTATGAAATCGACCCCAATCGTCTATAATTGTCTGTCAGTCAAGCGTGTAATAGTATTTATATCCTTGTGGTCTGTCAATTGGACTTCTGGGCCGTAAAGTAGTTGGCGAAGAGGAGAAGTGATGAAGCACGCGGTCGTCCTGAAGAGATGCGATGTGATAGATGGGCTCGTCCTGGACTATTCCGTATCCGAGAGTAGGTATTAATTATGACTCCGGGAATTCGTCGATCATACGTCGAGGGAGAGTTGAGAGATTTTTAATAAAAACCTTATTGCAATGTATCCGAGTGCGATAATTGACAATCAGGCGATCAGGCCACTCGAAGACGTATTGTTTTCGTATGTGCAATAAGAGTAAGTTTCTTAATCTTCTCATTTCGTCTTTATATTCATGGCTTCGAAAAGCCTTAGGGTGCCTTTTATAGAAGCACGAAATTGCATATACCAACTAAAAGAGCGGGGGTTGAAGAGCAAACCGTAGCCTTCGACATGCAGGGTTGCAGGGTCGAGTCTGATGTGGCCACATTCTCTGCTAGTGGTACTCAAATAGAGGGGCTTAAAAAAAAGGTTAGAGGCTTAAAAGCTTAAAAATGAGAAATTTTATTTGTTAATAATTTTAACTCATACAGAATAACCAAGTTTTTTCAATAATTAATACTCTTTTCCAACCTACAAAGATCATTCAAATGATTTACAAGTTATTTCTTTTTTTTTTGTAAAATAAGTAGCTCTTTCATTGTCAAAAAAAAAAAAATTCATTAACTAATTGAACTGTACACCCAAGGTTATTTGGTTTAAGGGATTAATAGTACAAGGTTATGGGTCTAAAGTACTTGGGGTAAAGGTTTAAGGGGCTTAAGGGGGCTCCTACGACTACTGCTGAGGTCAAAGACAAACAAAAAATAAAGTTTTGTTTTTCAATAAACAAATGTGTCTGAAAATCATTATGATATTTTTAATAACGTATGAAGTGGGAAAAATGATATTTATGTGTGTAGTTTAACTTTGTACGAAAAATTAATTATTGTTTTGACCAGTCTAGTGCATACGAGGGTACACCACCAGACCAGACCACCTGTGTTGGTGTAGTATAGCGATGTAATATATAGGTATATGGTATATATATGTCGTGAACAAGTACGTCTGCTACCCACGTGACCTCCTGACCTCCCGGACACTATTTATTTATTTCCATCACAAATATCTCGCTAAAATGGTCCTTTATCCACAATTTTTAATACAGCATATTACAGAGGAAGACTTCATCTACAAAATGTATATATTCAGTCTGCTGGGACATTTAATTTAGGTTTATTGTAAACGAAAACAAATTGTTTTTCACGCTGCCCCATAGGAACACGTGCTAATAGTTACAACTTTGAGCTCGGATTTCTCAAAATTTTGACCCATTCGAAATATAATTTAGACCACCATTAAATTCAGTAGACTTTTATTTACAAGAAATAATCTATCTCTGTTTGGGGACTTTCGCGAAGGAGCTCCCTTAAGAGCTTGAATTTAAGTTGATTGGGTTTAAAACGTTTGAATTTGCCGCTAGACGGGTGTCCCGTTTGGCCACGCTGACTTACCGACAACCGATGGACACTGCAGCATTGTAAATGCTGACTTGATAGTATAACTGAATCTCCGACCGCGTGGCAGCATGATTCGCTCCCGCATGTGGCGAAAAAAGTGTCTGGTTAGTATATATAGACCAAATTGTCACCAGTCGTTCAGAGATGTGTGCTCACTGGCTCATGACGTACTTAAGTCTACAGTCACCCACGTGGACGGACTCGGTTTGAATAGTTTGCTACGTTGTAGTAGCTCACCGATCCGTACCTACAGGTAAGTGAGGTAAGTAGGACGTGGGGGACTTGCTTTTGCGCACATATTTTTTTGTCTTTATTTTTACATTACCAGTGTCCTGCTTTATTATTTGCGTTTTTACAAACCAAACCCTTCTCTCTTTTTTTTATTTCTTCTTTTAAAAGGTAAAAATTCTGAGAAATCAAGAAAAACATACGCCAGCTGCTTTAACTTAACATCATTTCCCATCATTAATCAACTTATAAATTGAAATCTGTCCATTAATGATAAAAATTTTTTTTTTCAGTTGTAATTTGTTTAAACAGCCTTTCATATATTTGCTCATTATTTTGTTTTCTTTTAAAAAATCCTTTTGTGTCCAACATATTCTTTTTTTGTATACGTCCTAAAAAAACGGCTACTGAATATATAATCGTAATGATTTAAGGACGTTCGGTAGTGATTGAATTTTCCAACGAATTTTTCTGAAATTTTGACCAGACGTTTTTATTGTTGTTACAATAAACCAGTCAAAATTTAAAGAGGTTCCTCTGTTTCGTTTTCGAGATATTGAATTTCAAAGTTAAGTCATTTTAACACTGTCGCTTATGGGAGAACTGACTAAATCACAGTTTTAAGCAAATTGGGCCAGTGAATTTGGCCAATTTTTTTATATGTTACAGATAATGTTATTAATTTGATGTATACCAAGTTTTGCGACGATCGTCTGATTCGTTTATAAATAAAAAATTAAATAAAAGCTCGACCGAAACGCAACGGCAACGTCGCAAGTGGCGGGAAATTCAAAATGTTCCAGGATGTTGATCAGTAAATATCTCAATATTATTGTAGATATTTATGCATTCACGCATAAAATACAAGCTTACGTGTGTGCGTGAGTGTATGTACAGAACGCCCACCCCTTCCCATAAAAAACAATAAATG